GAGGCCCGCGCGTCACCTCCTCGTCTTGCAGGCGGTTGCACAGAGAAGTCACGAGGTCAGCAGAGGTGGGGACGGCTGCAGGGACGGACTCTGCCGCCCTGCCCCCATCCTCGGCCACGCGAGGTCGGGACCAGCAACCTCCGCAAGTGAAGAGACCTGAAAGATGAGAACCAGAGGACAAGCGTCAGTTATGCTGGCCTCAGCTGTCTGCATCAACTTGGGGGAAACGCCTCCCCAGCCTGGAGAGAGAAATCCTTCCCCTCAGCACTAACACCACAGCCGGGGCTGTATCAGCAGGCAGCTAGCTGGCAGGGTAAGAGGAGGGCTTTCTCCCCTCTGTTTGGCACTAGTGAGACCACCCATGGATACTGGTCTAGTCCAGCTTTTCAGTAAAAGATAGATATGATATAATGGAGTGAGTCCAGAACAGAATCACCGAGATGGCTGGGGGCTGGAGCACGTGATATGTGAGGGGAGGCTGAGACAGCTAGCTTTGGTCAGCCTGGAGAAGGGGATGAGAGGCAATGGGCACCAACTGAAATGCAGGAAGTTCCATCCGAATGTGAGGAAAAGCTGCTTTCCTGGGAGGGTGACAGAGCGCTGGAACAGGTTGCCCACAGAGGTTGTGGAGTCTCCTGCCCTGGAGATATTCAAAAGCTGTGCGGACGCAAGCCTGAGCACTGTGCTCTAGATGACTGTGCCTGAGCAGGGGGCTTGGACTAAATGATCTCCAGAGGTCCCTGCCAACCTCAACCATTGTGTGATTGTGTGAAGGTCATCAAACACTGGAACAGGCACCCAGGGAGGCTGTGGGATCTCCATTCTCAGAGATATTCACATCATGACTGGACAAGGCCCTGCACAGACTGCTGTTATGGGCCCTTCTTTGAGCAACAGGTGTGCAACTCCAGTGCACAGAGGTCCTGTCCCCCCTCGGTTATCCTGCAAGCACCCAGAGCCTGGTGGGTTCGGAGCCAGGGGGCCTCTGCTACCCAAACAAAGTGGATGTTATCAGAGCCACCAGGGCTGTCACGGCTGACTCCTCATGAGGCAGCATCTAAGTCCTCTGCATTGCTGGGTGTTAAGTGCAAAGCAGAGCAACAGCTCTGCACAGTTTGCTCCATTTCCTATCTCCCTCAGGGTCCGGGCACCTCAGCTCCTTAGGTGGAAAGTCCATGAAATGAGGGGCTGGAGGGAGCTGCATGGGAGTGAGGAGGAGGCTTTCTCCCAAGGTGCCGGTGCAGTTGTAGGGTTCAGAGGAGTTCCCGCAGCGTCGGAAACGGCCAGCCCTACCCGGCGGTGCTAAGTGCTGGGGGTTTGTGCTCAGGCTCTCCCACGGCCCCAGCCCCGGCCCTGCCCCCTCACCTCGGAGCACCCGGAGTCTCCTCATGGCACCAGACCAGGGATAGCGCTGCTGCGCCAGCCCTGCGTGAGAACAGAGCGGGACCGCAGGGACCCACTCCTACACACCACCCTCACCGCCGCAGAGCGCTGCGGCCAATGAGGGCCTGGCCGGGCACGCCCGCCTACATCACAGACGGCCGCTGGCCAATTAAGGCTTGCCCTGGGACCGGCCTGTGTGCATCACAAAGCACTGCCAGCCAATAAGGGCTGTGCTGCTGGGCCACACCCACTCAGGGCAGGGGACCAGGTGCGGCAGCAGGCAAAGGACCCCAAAATGCCCCAAAGCCGAATTTCCCCATTTCTCTCCGTTAGTCCAATCTGTTTCATTTCCTTTTAGGGGTCTGGTCACTGTCTTGGCCTGAGTGATGGCTCCCAGCCCCTCCTTGATCTGGTTCCTACCAGCCAGAGGTGACCTGGTGTCAAGGGGGCTGATTTGGCCTTTTCTTTTCTCTTGTTGCCTGACTTTCTCCAAAAAGAGGCTTCTGTAGACTTGTCACCTATGTACATGTCTGTATGTGTCATTCTCTGTGTCTCCTCTGAGCAGCTGAACAGCCCTGGGTTTGCTCAGGGGCAATTTGCCATCTGGATAGAGTCCTGGGCAACGTGCTTTAGGTTACCCTGCTTGAGCAGGGGGCTGGAGGAGATGATCTCCAGAGGTCCCTTCCAACTTCAACTGGTCTGTGATTTTGTGAATTCTTTCAGAAAAAAAGTGCTCTGTCCTTGTTGGCCAGCCACAGCCTGAAACAGGAGTCGTGTGAACAGAGACACTTACGTGTCCCCAGCTGACAGCTGGTGGAAAGCTGTGATCTGCGTAACTCTGTGACCTCTCCATTCACGCTGCTTGTGCTGGGCGTCAACATCACATCCCTTTCCCATGCCTTGTTTTCCCTAAATCTGTGGGGCATAAGAGAAATCCTGTTGGGAAAGGGCAAAATGTATCTTTGTTGACCAAAGACAGAACCGCAGTCTCTCTCTCCGTGGGTAACTGACACCTGTCCCTCACAACCCCCCAGAGCTGCAGCACACTGACAGGCCCTGGCAACATTTCAGGGCCAAGGTAATGCCTGGCGGTCAGGGACACCAGTAGCACAGAGCAGTCTGGGGGATCTCTGAAGCCAGCACATGCTCATTCAGGCACTGCCTGTTGCCCAAAGGAGTTTTTCCTCCAGAACGTGCCAAAAACAGCATTGAATGTCTCAGGTACCATAAGAAGCCAAAACTGCATTAGGATCATAGGATAATTCAGGTTAGAAGTGACCTTGGTGGGTATCTAGTCCCACCTCCTGCTCAAAGCAGGGTCATCTATGAGATCAAAGCAAGTTGCTCAGGGCTTCATCTAGTTGGGTCTTGAAAACTTCCAAGGAGGGAGAGTGCAAAACTTCTCTGGACAATCTG